ATGGTGGCCGCCCAGCCCCTGCAGCTGAAAGGGGTCCTGGGGGGGTCCGTGCTGCTCTCCCCGGCTCTGCCCCCCAACAAGACGGTGAAGGAGATCGAGTGGAGCTTCTCAGCCGGCGCCGGGGCCACCATCCAAGTGGCAGAGTTCGGCCCCGGGGGCTTCGAGCGCCCGGACCCCAAGGATCGGTTCAAGGATCGGCTGGAGATGTTCAACGAGACGGCGCTGAGGATCAGGGCCCTGGAGCGGGGCGACAGCGGGGTCTACGGGGCTCGGATTAAACTGCACCCGGCGCTGGTGGAGGATCAGGCCTTCAGCCTCGCCGTCTACGGTGAGCGCTGCGGACGGGAGAGGTGATCAACGCCTCCCGCGCCCGGGAAAGGGGAAGAGAAATCGCTTTTGCCGCTCAGCGTCTGTCACGGGGATTTTCCTGGGTTTATGACTAACCACGAGCCACCCCCACCTGCACTTCCCCTCGCCGTGCCCTCTCGCCGTCCCCCCAGCCCAGGCATCCCCGGAGTGTCCTCGGGGTGTCCCCAGGCAAGGCTCGGTCCCGTGACGGGCTTTGTTTGCACCCCAAACAGAGCCCGTGCCGGAGCCAAAGGTCCAGCCCCGGGCGCTCTCCCGCCGCCCCCCCACGTCTTGTCCCCGCAGCGTCGCGCGGCCGGCCGAGGTGGTACGTGTGCCTGGTGCTGCTGGCCCTGAGCGCCGGAGCCCTGCTCGGTATCTTCTGGCTCTGGAGGAAGAAGAGGAGGAAGAAAGCGGCGGAGGGAGGTGGGTGCTGCCGGGTCAAGGCTCCGTCCTGGCGGCAAACGGAGCCGGGAAAGAGGGACCTGGGGCTTTGGTCCTTGGCTGTGGGTCTCCCTGCCCGTCCCTGCCTGCCCTGCCTGGACCGGGGCGGCTCCAGCCCCCCCTTCCCCACACCCCGGCTCCCCGGGCACCCCTCGGCTCACCGCCGCCTGCTCCTCTCTCCGTAGCCGCCCTCGGTTCCCTTTCCAGCGAGGACACCGCGCCGGAGCCAGCGTATGCCGAGATCCAGAGGAGACCCCCGCCGCAGGCAGAGCAGTGGGTGAGGCTGGGGGCACGGGGCCGAATTCGGCTCCTGACCCATCGCGTGGTGATGCCGGGGACCAGTTCGGCTCCTGAGCCATTGCACGGTGATGCCAGGGATGAATTTGGCTCCTGATCCGTTGTGCAGCGATGCCGGGGTCGAATTCGGCTCCTGACCCATTGCCCGGCAACGCTGCAGCCGAATTCCCCCCCTGCCCCATTGCCTGGTGATGCCGGGGCCGAATTCGGCTCCCGACCCTTTGCCCAGCTCCGCTCAAAG